CAAATAAAATTTGATTGATTGATAAACTACTGAAGCTTTTACAGAACTACTGGATTTAAAATACAAACAGGTAGACTCTGTTTATATATTAGATTGTGCTGTATTTTTTTAGCGTATGCTCACCACGCTGACGTCTGATGGGAATTGCTTCACCCTGGGTTACAAGAGTAAAGAAGACCGGACACAAAAATATTTAAATAATTCCAAAAAAAAAAAATCATGCATTATTTTGCTTGCACTTTACAATAGTCCAAATATTTGTGTGTGTTACATAACATCCCAGTAAAAAGAAAAAAAAAAAAAAAGAAAAAGTTTGTGGTTGTACTTTTACAAGGCCACTGAGGATTAAATCCAGACAAACATTAAAGTTTCTATTCTTGTCTCATTCTTAACAGATTTGCAACAAATCTGTATGTTGGAATCAGTGGAGTAAGAAGGCTATTTGGGGAAAATAAAATCTATTTGGTAAATGTAGACATTTAGATTTAAGTATGTGAAGCTGAAAGCATGTGAATGTGGACGGTACCAAAACTACAAACTGAGCTGATAATGTCACTGTCAGTGAAGGTGTTGAATCTGTATAACAACCCAGACACACAGCGTGGTCATCAAAGTCCAAACACAGATAGTGGAAAATCTGAGGGTTTATCAGCTGTAAAAGTAATTTAGTCTCACAGTGTAATCTGATGTGAATGTGTTGTATCCTACAGGCCTGCAGCGCTGGCGGTCATTTCTCTGGCCTTTGGGCAGTACATCCTGGAGCCGCTCTTCATGCCCTGCAGTATCCCCCCCATGGCTGTGAAACTGGCCACAGCCATCGGCATAAGTAAATATGACAGCTATTGCTTTTTTACCTTTCACTGTCTCTGTGTCAGATTACTATATAATCTTTTTGGCCTGTTGTGGCCTTCTCTGTAAACACTGACTGTACAGACGCACATAATTCATCCCACTGATCAATACACAAAGTCCCATTTTGGAAGCCACATGCAGCTTTCATTTAAACTGGATGTAAATATTTCCATCAAAATTTAGACTGCCTGTAGCTCAAAAAGTTAAGCCCTTAGTATCTTATCTATAAACCCAACTCCGACCAGAGCAAATTTG